TATTTACAAATATGAATGAGCTAAAATTCATAACAGCTCAGACAGCCTGAAGTCTCATTAACCCAATTTTAAACAGGGTGGGATGTGAGTGGAAAACTGAGCACTCAGAGCCCTGGAGTAAGGCCACAACGAAGGGAAGAGGACAGCAGATTCAATACCCTGAGAGATCCTGGGGCCAGCTCTGGATTCCTAATTCAGGAACTGGTGGTTCTCCTTGTGCCGGGGTCTGTACCTTCTACTGGAAATCTGTGTGCATTCTGGTGCCCTCTCTTCAAAGGAATCATGACCTGTTGATGATGTTTGGCAGCCACAGACTGAGCAATGAAAAAAGGCTGGCCTGTTGCTCTACTTTGTTAATGGCGCAGTTATGGTGTGGGAAAAACAGATTGTGAACTGAAGAACAGGCCCAGAATGTACAAACAGGAAGGAAATCAATTACTGCTAAGCAAAAAAAAAAAAATATTCTGTCATTTCAAAAGTTTTGGGCACATGTCTTTGCTGTTTGGGTGTTGTCCATGTCTAGATTTTACATAGGTTAATTCAGACAGACAAGCCAAGACTTGTATGTACAGTAATTCTCTTTCAAGCTACTTCTCATTTTTCCTGTTCTCAGCTCCCCTGTTGCCTTTCATGTCACTGTATGCAAACCAGGGCATAGTCCACTAAATTAAACAATAACAACTGATGACTAAGCTTTAGAAGGAAAAGATGATCATTTCTCTGCCAGACACTCAAGCCATAGGGTTCACTGTCTCTGAGGACAAATATGACATGGTAGCTTGATTCTAGAAACAGATGGGCTCTTTCACTAGCCATTAATCTCACTGCTAGTTCACAAACCTAAGACCACCCATTTATTGCATGACTGTGGGTGTGCATCCTTTTTTAGCAAAAGCACTCCTTCATGAGGAATGAGTCACATACATGAAGACCGTGACAGTATCCAACTAACTCATTAATAAAAGGTAAAGTGCAAGATGTAAATCCCTCTGCACTGCTAGACTGAGTCATCCTGATGCTGGATTTATCACAGCCTAGATAAAGTTTCTAATAAGAGCACCAACTGTACAAAGTAAGGGTTTTCCATTGCCTTCAACTAAGTCAGCTGAAGCTCTCAGAAGTGACTGACTGAAAGGGTTACACATAGTGGCCTGCATTAGGGAAGGTGCCTAAGCAGACCAAGGGATGTCAGTGTCTCTGTAGACTTGACACCTGTGAAGGCACACTTGGAATGTTGCATTCAATTTTCTGGCTCCTTCCCGGTTCAAAAGGAAAGCAGAGGAACTGGAGGGAGTTCAGCAAAGAGCTCCCAAGACAGAAGTCCAGAGCACTTTGCCTACATGAAAAAGCTTCTTGAGTTGGGCTTGTTGAGTCTGGCAAAAAGAAAGAGACAACATAACAGCAGCCTACAACTCCACAAAGGAGAGTTACAAAAAGGATAGAACCAGCCACTTTGGCAGTAGGTGATACAGGGAAGGGCAACAGCCCCAAGCTGCAGACTGAGATGTTCAGATTGAACTTCAGGAAAATTTCTTTATCCAGAGAGTGGTGCAGAGAGATGGTGGGCTCTCCATCCTCAGTGTTTTCCAAAACATGAAGAGTCAGAGGCACAGGTAAATGACCTTACATGATAATAGTCCTGCTTCAAGAAGGATGTTGGATAAGAGACCTCCAGAGGTCAGTTCCAACCCACACTGGAATGGTCTGTGATTCCCAGAACTGACTGTATTTATTTCATCCCCTAAGTGTGATGACCTGGAGAGCAAGTTAACCCTGCTGAGAGAGTTCAGTGGGGTCTTTTTTATTTCCTATGTCCCAGCAAAGAGCAAGAGAGACTAAACACCAAATCCTCTGCACTGGCTGAGAACTGTTCAGATAAATCCACTCAGTCTAAGTGGGTGAACTGTGTTTCCTGAACAGAGGAAAATTAAAATTATCTTGAATTCTGCTCTGTCCCACCCAATCAGAAATTTGTCCTCAACCACAAATTATGGCAATCGCTTGAACTTGGGGATGTGAGCATGCCTGACTAGAAGATCACCAAAGGAGGATTTTCTGAGCTCTCTCACACACTGGACTGTCCTTTACTGTCCCTAGGTGTAGTCCATCTCTGATGCTTCTGAGGAAGTCAGGAAAAAGCCCAGAATACATTCAGCTCTGTGCACCAAAGTAAAGCTCCCAACAGGTTGTTGCATGTTGCCTGCTGAAGGATGGGGAGTCAATTATACTCAGGGCCTAGAGGTGAAGTAGAGATCTTATGATTATCTTGAGGTCAATGCTGATTGTCCATTTTTCTTCTGAGCCTATGAAGAAAGGGTCTAAGCACAGGTCACAGGGATCTGGAGCTTTGGAAACAGACAGGCCCAATAAGATCTTGTAGGATAACCTGTACAAGCTGCAGGTACAGAGCTCAGTCCACTGTCACATTGTCACTATGCTGCAGGAATAAATGGTAAGGATGTGTTGCCTCTTCCTGGCACTTCTATTGTAAATGTCTCATGAAGGAAAAAGAGATTCCAATTTACATATCCTGGGGTTGAATGGATAAGCAGTCATTATGAAAAATGAGTGTACGCACATATAAACACCCACGCATGTTGTTAAACCTTCTGACCAAGGAGAGATAAGCCTGATGCTGATTGTTTATGATCGTGCAGTAGAATTTCTATGGAATTGTTTTTCTTGGGTGAAAAACAGAAACAGGCACATTAACTCACTTCATTGTAATGCCCATTTTATTGTAATTATCTTTCAATTCTCTGAGCTTTCAGCATCTTGTTTTGGCATTATAAACACCTGGAAATCCTAGGCAACATAAATAAAAAATAACATCTTGTTACAATAATATCTATAGAAAATGAGACTGGTGCTTTCCAGTTCCCCTATATCCATACACAAACCAATAACATATAAAGGCTATTTATTCAAAGTGCTAAGTCTTTTCATGTTCTTTATTAGAGCACAGCCCCATGTGATAGGCTTCGTAAATATGTAAGAAAAAGATTGTTTCAAAAATTTATGATCAGAGAAATTGTATTATTCTAATTTTTAGGTAAGTAGCTGAGATGCAGCTCCTTTAACAAGTTTCCCTGACATCAGATGAAGAGCCTGGGGCAGTGGGAGGAAGGTAACCTAGAGCTCCTAAGCTCATCAGTCCTTCTGAGAACATCCTCTCCTTTAAGAGATGCATCCCAAGAATTTTATATTGTCAAGGGATTCAGGAGGAAAAATTGTTCCCTCACTGGCCTTTGTTGGCAACTCCAGTAAAAATCAGTGGAAGGAAATCCTCCCAAACACTATTTAAGCTAAGGATTTGGATGAGTGGCATGTGGCCTATCCATTATCATACCTAACACTTGGAAAAACAGACTGTGGGTGCATCCCTGTAGCTGCTGGTATCACCACTCAGAGGAGCAGAAGGGGTAACATTGCAGAATGAGATTGTAATCAGATACACAACTCTGAGATGGGCTGAAAAAGGTCTGGAGGATCAAGTAACCTGTGTTCTAGGGTCATAGAAGGTTAGGTAAAAGGTAGCAGGTTCTATAGAAGAATGCTGACAGAAAGTTAGCTTTCAGTACTTTAACAAGGCATTTTAGGGACTAGCTCTTAGACCTTTTTAGTCTATGACAGGTATCATCCTGGAACCATCTGAAAAAATGTGAAGAAAACAGTTTATAATACCTCTCCTTCCCTGAGAGCAGGAAAAAACAGCTGTGCCTCAGGATAAGGGGAAACCAGAGTGACTTCTGTGTGTTAGGTGTGGGTGAGAGCACAGCCTGTGACTTTTGTGCTGTGCCTTTAGAATCACAGAAATTGGTGGAAATGGCTGTGGTAGAAAATGCAAGGGAACTGAGGTCTCCCCACCTTTTTGCACACTGCTCCAACACTGCACTGCCCTCGTGGGGCACATTTCCACTAAGTCCAGTCTGAACATCTCAGCCACAGCTTGTGACCCCTGCTCTGAGCTGCCACTATAAAGAAGGGCCCAGGTGGTCTTCACAACTCCACCTTGAGCAGCAGGGCCCAACACCAGATGCATGATTTCAGGGGTTGAGTCCAAAGAGACAGAGTGTTTCCTTGCTCTGCTGGCCACACTTCTCCTAATGTAGCTCAGTATGTGGTTTCTTTAATTCCTAGTCAGAGTATTTTGCTGGTACATATGCTCTAGGGTTTTTTGGTGGTTTTTTTTTTTTTCCTCACTTTGTCACAAAATAAGGTTTTTTTCTTCAGGGGGATCACAGGAAGGACATGGGTGAATGTTGGCACTTGAGTGATGCTGCCTGCATCCTCATCATGAATGGATGGATCCCAGATGACAAGTGCATTCTCAACTGAGTAAACTGACAGAGCTTTAAGGCACTTCTTGTCTCATGACAGAGGGTTTTCTGTGGGAGATGTGGGATGCTTTCTGAGACAGAGAAAGGACTGTTGTCTCTGTGCACCTGGAACTGGAAGAAGCATAATCTTCCCAGAGTGAATACCTGAGTGAAAAAGGGTTTATTTCTTGTGGCCATGGGGAGCCCTTGCTTTATTGATTTGAGAAGCTCTGCAGTCACAGTGGGCAGAACTAGGTGTAAATAATTAAAGGCATTGCCAGAAATGGCTATGGGACTTGGCCTGCTATATGAATAATATTTCATTGTCTCTCTTTTCCTGCATTTTATCTTGAAATAAGAGATATGATCCTGAGAAACAGCCCTTTGTGGGATGAAAAATACAAAAGCACAAATTCCTTTGGAATCCATATGTAATGGATATGGATTTTTGCCAAGGGATAAGATTTCAGCTTTTTGCCAAGGCAAAGCTGAAAAGGAGAAAAACATGTCCCCAGAATTTTAGGGAAACTTGAGGAGTCACAGCTGCAGTCCATCTCACCTGGACACTTAGTGTCACTTGCATTCTACTCATTGCTCTTTACAGAAGAATATTTTCTGAGTCTTGAAAACCAAGGGATAAACCATGAGGTGGAGGCAGCCACGTGAAGGAAGGATGTTATCTCAGTTTGCATCCCTGGTAGTTGGAGCAACTTCCAGCAACAGCTGGAGGTGCAAAGTGACTCTCTGTAAGAAGCGAGGGTGGTACTTGAAGCGAACCAGTGGGAAATAAAAAATGATGCCACTGAAAATGAACAGGACGATGTAGAGGATCTCTATTTGGGGTTGATCAATGATGGGAGCTAACACCAGGTACACAGCTGCCATCAGCACAATTATGGGGATGATAATTGGGACCTGTGAAAGCAAAACATCAGCATAAAGACTCATGTAATTCTGGGCTTCTGTGTGTCTGGATAACCCTGGAACTTCTGCAGAAGGCTTTGTAGATGAAACCTTTTTGCAACCTGAAGTATTACCTAGAAATACCAATTAATCCAGACATCCTGTTTCCCAGCCTACCCCCGCCCAAGGCTGAACATCCCTGCAAGGGCTACACCACCATATCACACCCTAACCCCTGGTCTTTCCTGCCCTCCTAGACCTGAAGATGCAAACTACCAGGTTTAGTGCCAGGCCTGTTCTTGGTCTCCCTTCTACCGTGCATCTCAAAGCCAAGCTGTAGACAAAACACAGAGCAATTGTATTCAAATCAACTGTACCTTAGCACCCTTGCACATAAAGTTTTATCTGTGTGTTTACAGACAGGTGGACAGGCAATCTCAGAGGCAGTTTCTGTAAGCCTGGTCAGAAAGCATTTAAACTTCAATTTGAAGCCACCCTTCCTCAAAGGAGGGTGGCTTGTGCATTCATTAATAATCCTCAGTCACTGAGGAAGCACTGAAGATCAGCTCACTCGTGGCATCAGGGGAAGAACACGTGACTCTTGATTTCCCTCCTTTCATCTGTTTAGTGGGGAACAAACCTGTCCCTATGTCATCTCAAAGAACTTGGGGCACTCCACCTAAGTTATTTTTCCCTCTGCAAGGTTCTAACACCTGGGCTACCCTCCCAGGAGTTTGCCCAAAGTCTGTGAGCAAAAACAGGTGATTACAATGTTGATCAGAATCATCCTTCATTTACCATTTAAATCTTTTAGAAAGAAAGAGGATATGGTAGATATATTTTCAGAGTGAGGAGGCAGGGCATTATTAGATTATCAAGAAAGAGAATTCAATCTTGACTTATGCCTGTATGTTCACACTGTCTCACCCCTTGTTGGCTTTGCTGACACAAAACTTGAAATTAAAAAAGAAAGGACAACCACATTGAATCTGTAAGCCACCAGTGCTCACTCTTTTCTCTAAATGTTCTCTTAGTCACTTGAACAATATAGGAAAATATTTGAGGGTTTTATGTTATTACTTTACCTTGTAAGATCTTGGTAGTTCTGGCTTCTTGATTTTCAAATACAGGAGCCCAGAAATAGTCATTCCATAGAAAAGCCATGCCATAAAACTTGAAGAAAAGAAAAAAATTAGACAGCATTACACTTGGGGTGAGATCATCCAGGAATGTCAGTCCTGCCTTGCAGATCCCAGATGTTCATGTCTCCAATTAAAAAGGTGAATATTGATATAAATTTAGTAGTTCCTCCATTCATTTCCTTTCTAGCACAAATGATGAGAACTTTAGAATTATCTGAACATGACTGATTCAATGGGGATGAATCACATTCAGTTAAGTCTCTAGTGACAGGAGCATTCATGCATTGCAAAGGTGCTGGTTCCCAATCTCTTTCTTTTCCTTCTTCCCTCCTCCTCTCCCCAGTATTGGTTAGAAAGCAATAGCCCAGGCTCAAAAGGATAATGCAAGAAAGTACTTGTAAACAGTGTAAAACCCAGGAGCACAGGGGATGCAAACAGAAACCCTACATGCACATACCTGAAGAAGTTGACGATGCTGGTAAAGCTCCCTGATATTATCATTATTAAAGACATGGCAGATGTGAACAGTAGAGCAGGGGAGGGTGTGAGGCGTCGCACATGCGCCATGGACAGGATGTCTGGCTGAAAAACAAAGCAAAGCATCATCATTTCATGGACTCAGAGCTCCTTATTCATCCCCCTCAGCTGCTGGTGGGAGCTTTGCCTGCAGCCAGAGCCATTCAGAATCAGCAAATAAGCACTATATACAACCAGACCAACTCCAAGGAGTGTAAATACAGGAAACTCCTTCAAGGGCATTTTTATTGTGTCTCACTGGTTTCATATCAAACATGATCAGTTTGAGCAGGTAAAATGAGGTTTTCAAACTACTGATGTGACAGAATGAGTCAAATTAGAGCTTTCCTGACCACCATCAGGACCTTTTGCCATGGGCCCAGTCTTCTGCCCTCTGTCATGTCTCTCTGGGACTTGACTTCTCTTGGGATGACTGGAAAATGAGACAAGGACTAGTTCTGAAACATTTATGTGAATACAAATTACACCAGGGTTTGTTTCAGGATTAGTAGCCTCTTTATTGTTTGTTTCATTGGGAAAGTTTAATGAGAAAGACTGCTTTAAAATCTTTATTTTATTTTATTCTTAATTCCCAACCAAAATATCATGCAAGAACCTTTGCTAGAGGTGAGTGTTTGAGAAATGGCATAAGCATTCAGCTCATAGTCTGGTATGGTCAGATTCAGACCATCTGTGCACTTCTCAGGACAGAGCTTGCCATGATAGAGCAGGCATTATCCTCAGAGAGAGAGGTTGAGGAACAGTAACCACAGAAATCAGGAACCACCAAAACCAGCAACCACCAGTCCAGTCATCTCCACCAACCTGGTCATTCATATGCATAAAAGATTCCCTGCTATGAACCAGGAGCAGAGCTGGTGTGGAATCACAGATTCATAGAATGATTTGGATTGGAAGGGATCTTAAATATCATCTAATTCCAACATCCTGCTGTAGGCTGGGACACCTTTTGCTAGATCAGGCTGCTCATAGCCCCATCAAGCCTGGCCTCAAACTTCCAGGGATTGGGCATCCACAGCCTGTTTCAGTTCAACCTGCTTCAGTGCCTTAACACTTGAGGACAGAAATGCCAGATGCTGTGGGTGGGAAGGACCAGAAAAAGCAGAGAGATTCAGGAGGAACACAAGACGCCTGCTCAAAACAGAGGACAAATGCAGCTCAACCTTTTTTCTCCTCCTTGTGGAGCAGTGTGGTTAAGTGTGTGTGGAGGTGTACCTGTGAGTGAGGGGGGTCTGTATCAGCAGCTGGGATGTGGCAGCAGCCTTGGGGGCTTGTTTGCCCAGATACCAGCTTGGGGAGACTGGGACCAGGGGCTGAGTATCTGAGTCCAGCTGCTGGAGGGGCCCACACTGTATATATATTTTATATTAATTTCTCACTAATAGACCCCTGATCATCCAGAGAGGGAATGAAAGGCCCTTGGTGTTGTTAATGCTGGTGTTTGTGTGAGCCCCAGCTATGTCTGTATGTTCCCTTCTGGCTCTGTATGCATATGTACAGCTATACATGTATGTATGTGTGTCTATAAATATGTTTGATACTTGTGTTTGTGTGTGTGTGGCTACTGGGAATGCATGCTGGACTTATTGGTTGGACCAGGGAGAAGGGAGCTGCAGCAGCCTGACCTCCACTGGGTTACCAGATTTGGCCCACCTAACAAAACCAATGATAACCCAAGCTAGGAGAGATGTAAGGCTTGGTGTCACCTTGTAATTGCTATGAAGCTTGAAGAGCGAGATGTCCTATGCTGCATCTAAGCTGGACTACCCATGTGGAGGCTGGATCACCCCTGAGATGAACCTGTGTAGTCAGTACAACAGCTGCAAAGGCAGCTGGCTGGTGCTGGGCTACCCTCCCAGTGTGAGCAAAGGTGCCTTACAACACACAAGCATGGCCAGGTTCTCCTTCCCTGGCAGGTATATTGACTAGGTCACCCCACAGCCTGTGCCTGCTGCTCCAATGCAGCAATATTTGAGTGGTTCATTTCAAAGCTGTTCTTAAAATTCAGGCTAGATGTGAATATGTTATCTTTTTGAAAGCACCTGACTGAAAAAGAAAGCCCAGAGACAACATGCACTGTGGTATTTTCAGGGTCTCCAGAACGAAGGAGCAATTGAGAATCTGACTCCCTGCTCTTAGAAGGCAAATTTATTATTATATTATATTATATTATATTATATTATATTATATTATATTATACTATACTATACTATACTAAAACTATACTAAAGAATAGAGAAAGGATACTTACAGAAGGCTTAAAAAATTACTAATGAAAAATTTGTGACCTCTTCCAGAGTCCCAACACAGCCGGATGGTGATTGGTCATTAAGTAAAAACAATTCACATGAAACCAATCAAACAACCACCTCTTGGATAAACAATCTCCAGACCACATTCCAAAGCAGCAAAACACAGGAGAAGCAATCAGATAATTATTATTTTCATTTTTCTCTGAGGCTTCTCCGCTTCCCAGGAGAAGAATCCTGGGCAAAGGGATTTTTCAGAAAATATGACAGTGACAATACGCCTTACATTTGAAAGAGATGGGGATTAATGAGCAAGGAACAAACCCCTTGAAGAGCTATCACTCTGACAGTTGAACATACACAGTGTTTTCCTCTCTGCTTTAGTGTCACAGGAAGGTGAAGTTGCTCAAAGCAAGCCAGACCCCTTTCTTTGTGCTCACCATGTGGCCCTCCCTGGCAGCAATGTAGCACACACGGCCTCCGCTGAAGAACGTCCCGTTCGAGGAACCAAACGTAGACAGGGCCACCGACAAGGAGATGAGCCACGCCCAGCTGCCCAGGACTTTGTCCCTGAGGTGGGAAACAGTTCACAGCATAAGATGCAGTTCATAGATATATTGAATACTCACTGTAGAACCAGACAGGTTACATCCCTCCAGTATTTCTGTATTGTACATAATCTTTTTCTGTGGTCTTTCTAGTGATTTAAAGTCTTCTTGCAATTCCCATAATATTTAGTGACTAGGAAATTTGCCTTGTCTGACAGCCTTTCTTCCTGCTATATATATTCTGTCCACACTGCAATGGTGTACAAAGAGGTCACAACAGGCAAAACCACATTTTTTGTGTACTGAAGCTGTGGCAAAACACCTGAAGATATCACAACCAATAACATTAGCTCAGAAATTACAGAAAAAACTGTTCCCATCACACTGGAAGAAATATTCTGCATTACAACCTCTTCCTGAATATGCATAGGATTTTAACCCTTTAATCCCACATGCACCTATTACTGCTCTTCTGTGAATCTGACTTAAACCAAAAAAAATGGTTTGAATTCCAGATGTTTAGTTCTATAACATATACAGACATTTCTGTTTCACTTACTACTTAACAGAAGAAGTAGCAGAGTTACAGAGTTCAAGGTAAATATTTGGAAGGAATGATAATTTTCTCACCTAAAAGTGAAGATTGTCTTCTGGAATGAAGCAGCATTAAGAGTACTAATTGAGTAATAAATGCTGGTGTTTGGGGTAATTGTCACATACACAAACACTGTTTATCTAACTGGCAAAAATCCAAAACTCAAATGTTTTTTTAGATCACTTTATTTACAAGCAAACTGAAACCTGTGGTTGCTGTTAAATCGCTGTCATCAAAGAAACGCTGGGAAGAGTTTCCTGAGCTCTTTTTGTGGCTGCACCTCTCACCACTGAACAATGTTTCTTTCTGGGAGTTTTCCTCTTATATAGGGAATAAATGCATTTAAATGTGACAAGTCCTCCTCTGGGTTCTTTATACTCCTCCCATTCTTTCTTAATGGCCTGAATAGCTGCATGTCTTGCTTGAGAGGCACAAACTTTACCTCCTCCTCAGACTGGCTCCCTACCTGTTCCCCAGCCTTTGAGTGCCCAGATTTCCTGTCACTAGTTCAATATTTCTTCCTGAATTGCACTCTTGGGTGAAAAGGTTAATCAGACAGGAAAAGGAGATGTGTTACAAAGGAGGAAGCTCACAAATAACTTGTTAATTAGGAATGATGGGAAAGGAAGTGCAGGAAAAGTTCGTGACACTGCAGCTTAGTGAGGCTTTGTGACATGCTCAAACAAAGCACTAGACCTTTAAAAGCTCCTACTCATAATGACATGAAAGGCTATTAGAGAACACATCCAGCAAGAGCTCAGTCAGATCTTCAAATGGGAGATCTTGTGAAGTGCACACAGAAGCAAAGCTGCTGGTGACTTTTTAGGAAGAGCAGCACATAAGCTGTGGATACACCATGTCATCATTTCTGCCAGACATCTCATTTAGGGCTATCAGGGATTCTGTGTCTTTGGAAATATCTAGACTAAGGCTGGATGTTCTGGTGGAAGATCATTGATGGTGTCTATACCTCTCATGATGATCCCTTCCTTCTCTTCCTAAATTCCTCGTCTTGTACAGAAACTGTTTAATGTTACCAAATACTTCAGGTTGAGGAAAGGTAGAAATTGTTTCTGTGCAGGTCTGGAAAAACACAAGCCAATTGCAGTTACCAAAGGCTACCCAACCTGTGTATAACAGCTCTCAAAGGTGTTGAGATCAGTACCATTTTCCATTTCCCCACAGATGGAGAAACTGAAACAAAAGACTCTGGTCTGCTCTAAATTCCAGGTGCCAAGTAGACAGGATTCAGCTGGTTGACTCCTGTCTCACTCCCAACCCACTGCCTCTGCATTAGCAGGGCAGCACATTGCCCTCTCAGTTTCCCTGGAAATATCTAAAATGTGCAAAATTTCTCAGTTCCAAGTCTGGATATCTACCCTCACTGCATTCCCAGTGCCTGTGGGGAGATGCTCCTGGTGTGACCTTCACCTCTCCCTCATGGACACTTTTAATGGGGTAAAACATGAGTTGGGGGAGTTACAGATTCCCAGTGTAAACAAAGGGAATGGGGAGTAAGGAATCTGCCATCTTGGCAGCCTAGATGACCTTGGAGACCATGGTCAGATGGAGTTGGTCAGCCTTGGCCTCATAGAACCATAGAATGATAGAACAATTTGGAATGGACCTTGAAGATCATCCTTTTCCAAGCCCCTGCCACGAGCAGGGACACCTTCCACAAGACCAGGTTGCCAAAGCCCCCTCCAACCTGACCTTGAATGTTTCCAGGGATGGAGCATCCACAGCTTCTCTAGGCAACCTGTGCCAGTGCCTCACCAGCCTCACAGTAAATAATTTCTTCCTTATGTCTAATGTAAACCTACTCTCTTTCAATTTGAAGCTATTCCTGCTTGTCCTACTTCTACATGCCCTTGTAAAAACTTCCTTTCCAGCTCCCTTGTAGCCCCTTTAGGCACTGGAAAATGCTGTAAGGTCTCCCTGGAGAGAGACCTTTCTCCCTCCAGGCTGAACAGTCCCATCTCTCTCAGACAGGATTCAGCCCTCTGAGCATCTTTGTCACCCTCTTCTTCTCTGTAACATGGCCTGACCAATGCAGTGCTGCCATTCTGTCTGGGAATAACATTTAAATCTCCTGAAACTCAGGAGAGAACCAGTGTTTTTCAGAGCTGCATTGCCCATGTTGCCCCACGCAGTGCTCACCCCCAGGTGACAGCCACAGCTCCTGAAGACAGCAGCTCAGAGGGAGTCATGGCTGCCAGGTAGCTCACGTTTACCAGCAAATACAGGCATGTAACCAAAGGAATGGCAATCATCAGAGCTCTGGGAAGGGTCACCTGGAAAAGGGATGACAGCAGTGTTAGGTGCAGCACTGTACTTTTTCTGTTTGATTTGGTTTTGCCACCACCCACGTCTCTCATTGAAATTCCTCCACTTCCTAAACCTTTCCTCAGAACAAGACATAGATCCAGATTCACATGGCAGCTTTCACACCAGCCTTGTACGGTTCCAAAGTTAGACTAAAAAACCCCACAACCAACCAAACAAAATAATTCAAACAAAAAGAACCCACTGAATCTTATTAAAAAGATTTTGATTTGTAGCTGCCTAAGATGCCTTTTGCATATTTCTTGATTATTTTAATATTGATTTATTTGTTATTAGTATGTTATGTCTCCTGGTGTGCTGCATCTTCCCATAAACACCTCACTGCCATGGACAAAGTTCCAGTGTGTGTTGTACACATTTAACTACTCTACAGTTTAAATCAAAAGAGGGGTTTGATCTCAAAATCTCAAAGGGGACTTGCACTAGGAAGGAAATATTTATTTTTTCTTAATGGCAGAATTGTGTCTTAGAACACCACAGGATCATTTTAAGACTCAATAAAATCAACAGTGTCTTATGCAACTGAAAATACTGGGAAATGGCAACTGTATGCATCTAAGAACTTGAAATATCAATTTTTGCATTCCCCATTCTCAACACAGGACAAGATACAGCAATTTCTAATGGTGGTGTCTCCACTCTGGAAGGGCCTGAATATCAGTGCTCATGATCCTGTGGGAGAGAGTGGCCCTGGGATCTTTGCTGCCATTTAGGTTAATATTTAACTGTGTATTTGCATTTGATCTGTAGGATCTTGTGTGCTGCACTGGTACAAAGCACACTCTATAAACTGCACTCACGCAACTCTTGCAAAATAAGAGTTGTTCACTGCTGCAGTGTTTGATCAGTGAAAATGGATAATATGGCACAGAGAAGGTGATGTGAGATGCAGCTGAGCTACTTCAGTGCCTACAGCATGGACTGCACAATGCTAAAATACAGATGTTTAAAGACAGGGATCATTCACAGAGTTAGATTCCCTTTCCAATGAGGCTTGGCTTACTCTGAAGTTGCCCTTTGATGCAACAGGGAGAGATAAAGTACTTTGTTTTCTAAAGCATAGATTATGGATCAAGTCTTTAAGAAAATACATGTTGTTAAGAATCCTTTATGGATTATAGCAGTGAGTGCTTTTCTGAATAAATCTAGGTGTCTACAGTGAGATCCTCTAAACACTAAGAAAAAACTTCATCCCTAAAGCATCCAAGTTCTGTCTAATAATTTCTTTCCAGTCAATGGGTTATTTTAGGACTTTTATAGGACCACAAGATGGTTTGGATTGGAAGGGACCTTAAAGATTATCTAGTTCAAACCTCCATGCAATGAGCAGGGGTTCCTTCCACTACACCAAGTTGCTCAAAGCCCTACACAAGCTGGCTTTGAACACTTCTGGGGATGGGGCATCTGCAATGTCTCTTCTGTCAGTGTCTCACCACCCTCACTGTAAATCCCATTATTACCACTCTTAATACAATCATAGATAGAATCAAACATATTAACAGCAGGATTAAGTAAGTAAAACCCAGCTCACTCACTCACTCACTCACTCACTCACTCACTCACTCACTCACTCACTCACCTCAGGCTTCTTCAGTTCCTCAGTTACATAATTTAGGTTGTTCCATCCATCATAGGACCAGAGCCCCTGGTAAAACGCCACTCCAACTGCCCCAATACCTGCAGTGGTGCCTTGAAAACCATTCTGAAAACTCTGAGTTTGTCCCTTGGCAAGCAGCACCAACCCACCCACCACGATCACCAACAAAGCCAAGAGTTTGGCAGCTGTAAAAATGTTCATAACAGATGTTGCCAGCCTCACGTTGAGGCAGTTGATGATAGTTAAAATCAGGATGCAGGCGGCAGCTGTACATTTGATGGCAACCTGCGGAGATGAGCATCCTGGGTAGAACGGCGCAATGGCGTACTCAGCAAAGCTCAGACAGACAGCTGCCAAACCAGCTGGTCTCACCAGGATGACAGAAGTGTAGGCGAAAAGGAAAGCAGGAAAGGAACCAAAAATCCTCAAAATGTAAATATATTCTCCTCCAGACTCTTTAATTATTGTTCCAAGCTCAGCGTACGACAAGGCTCCAAACGTGGCCAGGAGACCACATGCTGCCCAGATCAGCAGGCTGCTGGCAGGGTTCCCCATGTGGTGTAGTACCCACTCAGGGGACATAAAGATCCCTGAGCCTATCATGGTACCTGCAATTAATGACACGCCGCTAATCAGGCCAACCTCTTGTTTCAGTCTTAGCTTCTCCTTCCCTTCAGTCAGATCTGTGGATGAATGGAGTGGATCTGTTGCCTTCCTTTCCCTCATTGTGGAAATGTGAGGAGACAGGAGACGTTGTTGTAAGGAGAGAATCTGAAAAAGGATTAAGGCATTTGAATAAGGACTACCTCAGACTTTGAGGTTTAGTTAATAATTACAGAAGTCACACTGAACGCTGTTAAGAAGCACAAACCTATCTTCTGCATTTCACATTCTTTCATTACCTGTCTTATCTTGGTCATTTATTATGCCAAGTTTGATTATCCCTGAATTTCATTGCAAGCAATTGTAATGGATAGTATCCAGCATGACCTCAAAATCACTCAGCACATTACTGGACTGTGATCCTGGTTATCTCTCCTTTAAATCATGCCTCAAACAGCAAAACAGCATGTGAAACAAGGATCAAGTAAGCAAAGTCCCCATGCAAATCTGCACTTTATTCTTTGCTGAAAAGTCAATGTTCAAGCACTTGCTTCAGTGCTCAATCATATCTTAATTTTTCATCGTAACATGATCAAACAAGTCTGCTGGCCAACATGCTAAGGCTTTGCTCAACAAGGAACATTTTCAGTGTCTTGATCAAAGAAACAGAAAGGTTTTGCTAAAAAACAGTCCAGAGACATTTTTTCTGCACAGCAGTAGGGGGCGATATGGGCTTTTTCCAATTTTAGGAAGTGGAGGTGGAGAAGTGTGAAAAGGCTACAATTACATTTTTCCAGGGCCTTTTTACCATTGTACATAAGGTGTGCGCGCTCCTACCAGACCACAATCTTCAGAGCACTTTGTCACAGCTCATTGTACACACATTTCAATGCACACATGACAGAAACGTGGTACAAGCTTTTGAAGATACCCCTGACCCTTACTTAGAAACCTAACACATGAAATTCCAGACCTTGAGGCAGGTTCTACCATAAATATGACTATTACAGTGCATAAGGGTGTATTTTGTGATTTGAGATGTAGATGAAGTATTGAGCAGAAGGGAACTTCCACATGGATTCCTTTGAACATGAACTAAACTTTACTGCAGAGTTACTGTCCTTGGAGGTCTCTTGCAAACTTCTGTTGTGATAAGTAACAGAAGTGAGACCTTTCTCTGCCCTTCATGGCAACCACAGACCTTGAATCTTTATCTGTTCTTCTCAAATATTTGATCTAAAAAAAGCATGACTATAAACAGAGCAGTATTTCTATTGTTTCTCTAAAAATTCCTTCTAAATCATTTAGACTTCTCTTTCTTTACCTTTTTGCAAAAAAAAAATAAAAAAATCTAACTAGCTTTGCAGTTCTCTGCAAGAAGAGTCCAGGATAACTCTTGAACCCTTAACAAAACTACTCATGGGTCCACAAGAAAAACACACATACAATTCATACAAGTTTCTCATGCTAAGGCAAATAAAGGCACTCAAATTTTATCATCAGGTTCAAGTACTTTAAGTTCTCTAAAGAAGAAAAAAGCCCTCAAATCTCATTAAAAAGTAGAGGGGTCTAGAGTATAAATGTTATTATTAGATTAAGGAAATAATGAAAAGTTTGTTGGGTTTCATAAAGGATTTCAGAAGCTATTCCTACTATCACCTCTAGTATTCACTAGGAAATGGATGCCACCTGGTTTTCTCCTAATTTCAAAGCCCCTTATGGAAATTCACAGCTGATCAATGGGTAGTTGTAACAAAAGTGAAAGCTTATACTTTATCTGTCAAGTAGGTTTTTTAAGCTTTCCCAGCAAAGGTGTGAGTTCTGAGAATAAACATACACCTTGTACTGAAAGGGTGCAAATTAACACATTTCAAGTTAATGGTTTGCAAAGTGGTTGAGAACTTGGAGGGAGGCATCCCAGTAATGCAGAGTATTTTGGTTTGGTTTTACTAAGTGACAGCGCTCTTCTTGTCTGGTTTAGCTATTTGTAGTGTATTCTTCTTTAAAATTGCAAATGACACTGTAAGGCAATGCAGGAATCCTTTACGGGTCCAAAGGTCTGGGTTTTTTTCCTACACTACTCCCACTCCTGTGTGCATCAACACATGTATTATGTATACCAATCCTTATTGAAAACAAAGTCACAAATATGGTTAAATCAACGCTTAAGGAAATTTTCATATGACTACAGCTAGTTAAGTGTCCTTCTAGTAAAGCTATACATATATTTCTCCAACAGTTCTCCTGTTTTAATGAAGGAATTTCTGTTCTGAAGTGTAAATGTAAGGTTCTTGGAGGGGATTTTTTCAAACCTTTACTGTTCTTGCTCTTAGAAATGAACAACTTTTAATCTAATGTTGTAGGGGAAAAAAATTAGAATGTATTCCAACTTGATCATGTAAAAAAAATTCTGTAAGGCCCCTCATATAATGAGAATTAATTAACTGGTACGTCAATAGCCTCAGTCAATTTCTAGAGGGAAGTCTATTTCCAATCCCAGATTCATTGTTACTGAGTTCTAACTGCTTCCACCTAAAGTAATAAGGAATCTAATTAATAATGATAAGAACTTGAGGCTATTCCTGTGGACGCTAAGGTAGTCTAATTGCTTTGGATTTTTTTTTCCATTGTCTTGTTCTTTTTTTGACTGATATCAGCAGTAAGGAGCAGCCTCAGATAGGAGCAGCAGCAGATAGTTTAGTCAAGTGAATTGTCACAATTATAATTTGTCAAAACTGAGTATGGAAAAGGGCAACTCACTGCTCTCTTCCCAAAGGGAGAGCTATAAGAAGGAGTAAAAATTACAAGTTCTGCCTTCTCCTCGCGTGGAGTAGCAGAGCTTTGCTGCTCAAGCTGTCACCTAATACATCCCCTACCTGAACAAGTCTCACTTACCTTTGACGCTGCAATGGGTGGTTGCCATCTACTGGTCCCGAGCAATAATGCAACACGGCTCAGTCCGCATTTGGGTTTGGTATTTTGCATTCCTGGCTGAAAAGAAAGTCCACTGTACGTATTACTTCTTCAACATTAAGACAGCACAAATAGACTATATTCGAGCTGGGAATGAACAGTCTACTTAATGTCTTTATGGGTTTTTTTTTATCTCAGGAGTAACTATGAGGACTAATTTAAAGTAAAGGTCAATGTCAGTGGTAAAAACTAAGAAAAACATGTGGGCAAATATTTTGCAATATTTAATTTTAGGTCCCAGGAGTGATATTTGGAACACAGTTATGGGCTTGGTTTCCCTGTCCCACGCTTGGAAAAGAGTCAGAAATCTCTAGATGGCATTAAAAATAACCTGTAATCTGAGAGTGGAGTGGCCAAAACCATTGCCCATAACTTTCTCTGGAGGTAGACACGAATACTATACTTCTAAATTTGTGCAGGGATCAAGATTTTTTCTTTTTTAAGTAAAAAAAAAAAAAAAACACCAAACAACAAGCATCAAGTTGGATGACAGGTACTAGAGAATTCATTCAGGACATAAGATGTGGGTTTGATGGCCTTCTCTACTTAAGAACGTGGAAACCCACAAATTCAGCTTGGATACTCTCACCTCCAAAATGCAAGATTTGAACTGCAGTTGCAGGCAGATCTTGATGCCTGTGCTTGCCATATAAGTAGAGATGCCTGACTGAAAACAGAGAGGAAATAAAGGCCAGGAAAGTGGAGTTCTGAAATACATCTTAAGCCCACAAGAAAAATTGGGGCAGACACACAACATACCCCAGATATCCTGTGTGAAAACAGACAAAGGAAAGAGGACTCATTGAGAGGTATCTGCCTGGGGAACAGGTGCCCCGTGGGTTTGACTCTAATGCTCTACATCCCCAGCGCATCCTAGCTCTTCTCACATCTGAGCCTTGAAAGAGTGCAGCTTTGGGCCTCCATCCCAGTGGAGTTGGCCTGGACCCACCAGCTTCTTTCATGATGTGCCCAGGGGCCAGCAGTGTGTGATTGCCCCCAAGGCAACAGTGCCTCTGGCATAACAACAGGGCTCCTTGTGCAGCAGAGCTCTGGCTGGGATTTTAAAAATGCCAATGTGAGCTGCAGCTAGCAAAACGAAAACACAGCTTGGGCTACTGGGAGTAGGATGGTGGGGTAGAAATGACATTTCTGAGGATGCAGGACAGCCCTAGGATTCACAACAAGAATCATCACTAAAACTGAGCTTGTTATATTTAGAGTAAGTACCTTTCCCTGTCATGTAACAATAGCGGATCTGAAGTTGGGGGGTTAAGAGTGAATCTTAGACCCAATAATTTACCATGAGCTGAGTTAGTGCTCCCTGTCTGGGTCTGCAGACAGCCTGCAGCTGAGCTTGAGCCTCCCTGCTCCTGCTGAGCAAGGGCTCAGCATATTCTGGTTCTGCAGCTATTAAACATTGAAAGACTTGCTTTTGTTTTATAGATATGCTTTATTAAAATGTATTTGGTATCCCATGTTTCCAATTAGGCACTGAATATTATATGTTCAAGAGGAAGCTGCTAGTGCCATACTGAACTCCTTAGAAACAATGGGATCCAGGTAGAAGGAAATCTCAAAGGCTCAGGAGCAGGCTGTCCCTATGTGCCAAAAGATGAGTCAGTGGGAAAGAAAATCAGCCTGACTGAATAGGGAGATTTTGCTGAAACAGAGAGTTTATGACCTTTGGAAGAAGGGGCAGGCAACTCAGGAAGAATACAAGGATGTCATTGGGTCATGTAGAGAGACTTTCAGAAGAGAGAGACTTTGTATGTATAGAGAGACTTTCAGAAAGGTGAAAGCTCAGCTAGAACTCAATCTAGCCACCACTGTGAAAGATAATAAAGTGTTGAGGATGAGAGGAAATGGCCACAAGCTGCATCAAAGAAAGTCCACATTGTTTGTCATGAAGTATTTTTTCAACCTTTTTTTGAAAACGTGGTTAAGCATTGGAATGGGCTGCAGAGGGAAGTGGTGGAGTCCCCATTGCTGGTGGTGACTAAGAAACCACTGATTGTGGCACTTAGTGCTAGGGTTTAGGTGGCATGGTGGTGTTTGGTCAAAGGTTGGACTTGATGGTCTTGGAGGTCCAACCTTAATGATTCTATGATAATAGCTGCTCTAGAAGTTACTGATGGAGTAAGATGAAGCACTGATGAAATGAGAACCACAACTGAAAAGAAATAATTACAATTTGGGAAAAGTACTGATCCCACTGCTGCTTGCACAGGCCGAGTTAATCTATCAAGGGCTATTGGTACTTTTTCTTTCAGCAACTGAAGGAAAGTATACAAATTTCTTCCTTCATTCTGTATTTCCTGGGTTTATAGCTATATATATATATACAATATGTGTGTGTTTGTGCATGTGTTTGTGTATACAAACACACAATCTGTCCTGTTTTCTTTTCCTAGCAATTTAACCTTAATAATTTATTTGCATTAGTTTGTACTCTTAAGAATGCCTTTTAAATGTTGGAATAAAGTTTCATTTATTTATTAAGTTTAATTCAAGATTAGATTATCTTGTCCTATACAAAGTCTTTATCAAATAAATGCTATCATTACCAGAATACAAATAAACATTTTCATTAAAACTTTCTAGTAAACAAGATTAAAAATAGAACTTAAACATGCCAAAATTCTATTTAATCACTGAAATGCATTCCTATATTTCTGAGTAGATGCACAATAATACATTCACTAACACAAGATAGTTTTATTATTTTTAATATAAACTTTTACAACACATGCTTAGAACTTAACCTGTAAATCTATAGTCATTCTGTTAGGTAGCATTCTATAATAAAATAGTTTTCTCTGTATAATTCATGTCAGAAACATCATAATAACATTGACCCAAATAATTCCAGTTTTCCTCAGGTGAAAAGGGGACATAGTAACTGCAGGTACTAAACTGAATGCCTTTAAAACTTCATGAAAACTGATCCCTATTTTTGAATGAAACTCTGGACCAGAAGTGACATTTAGGGCACACAGAAGGCAGCTCCCTTCCCTAGCCTGCCCCACTGCTGCCACATCTTCCTAACAACCCCAAGGACTGAAGGGCTGTTTGCCCACCTGCCTCTTTTCTTCTTCTTAATCACAAAAGTGAGGGAAGCACCAGCTTTGGTAGTGTGGCACAGCAGAGGACCTGCCCTACTACTAGGGGACTAG